GCAGACAGTCACTGCCTTCAGGTATGGGAGGAATGTTGTAAAAGTTGGTTTCTCTTCATGAGGTCATTCTCTTTGCTTGTTGGTACACGGTCTCTGGCCCAGCCATGCAGACCTGTTTGCTGCCTATGATCTAGGCTCTTCCTACTGTCTTGACCTCCGGCATGAATGGCATCTCTCCATAGGATGCCTTTTACTTTCTCTCTCCAGATTCTCAGGTCTCTCTTCCATCTCCTCCTGAGTTAACACCATTCCAAACATTATCTCTGAAGACATGTTTTCTCTGTTCCTACACTAAGGCAAGATTTCTACATCACGCCCATCAGATCTGGCCTTCGTCTCTTGTGTGTCCCTGGGGAAACAGCAAGCCTCAGAAAGGGTGAAATGGTATTTTCAATTTCTTTCCCGCCACATCCTTACCAACGCAGGCCCTGGGAGACATTGGGATTCTCAGCAACTTAGCCAAGTTCACACTTTGAAAGTTTGGATTTTAAATGTACCTCTGAGCATTGTGCTGTTTACTGTTTCTCTATAATAATAGGGCTCGCTCTTTTAGAAAGAGTGGGCCTGAGATGGAATCCCAGGTCTTGAGCCTTCTGAGGACATACCAGTTCCTGTCTCTCAAGCCAACTCGGTTCCAAAGTACCACAGGCACATCTGTTCCTATGCTGTTCGCTCCAGCCTACCCTCTCTCGACCCACTACCACTGCCACTGTTGAACCCCTCCAAGATTCTCCCAACATCTGAAACATTCTTGACATATGTTAGATGTTGAGATGACAGCAATGTGATGTGCTCACCAGTGAGCAATCCCCTTGGTACATGACTTTCTAAGCCATAATCTGGAAGATCCTTTTTTATGTTTAATAGTCAGCCCTGAAAGTTGGCAGGCTTGCTGGGATTGCAACTCCAAAGTCAGTTCATCTCAGACTAACACTTAAAACACGCCTGCAAGAGTTCTTAAGAGACTTCTTTCCTGTCCTCTTGTATCTCCCCAACACTTCCCAACCTCAGAAGCCTCTGATGGAAGGGCTGGCCATTTGTCCCAGATGTGGGGTGATGGTGGAATGCCACTTGGCAACATGATTTCCTAAGAGGTTCTGGGTGTGCATTTCACAAGGCTCTTGAAGTGTAAGCTTAGCCAAGTCACCCAGTGCCTAGGCTTCTCACCTGGACTGATAATGCGACCCTCCTCATAGGGTTCTTGTGAAGAAGATTCTGGGGATTACAACTGGGCCAGCTTTGCAGCAAGTGCTCAGCTGATGCTGGGTGTTCTCTTTGGCATTGTTATGTTAGGGAGCCTGTCATAAACCACTCCCCTCCAGAGCCTTCACTCATATCAGGATGGGAGCTCAGGCAGGGCAGGGAAGAGAGCCATGTAACTGTTACAGACTTGCTGAGCAGCAGAGAGGCCTGGGGTGCCTCCTGCCAGTATTTTTAGCAGTGATGGTGAATCATGAGCATTTAGTTTCAGAAAGACTTAAAACTGAAACAACTTCTAGCATCTCTACAGTATTTTTACCACACTATCTTATCTGGGCATTAAAAAAAAAAAATACAGTTTGTTTTTCTGCAGGAAAAACATAAAAAAGAGCCACTTGTTTACCATGTCTCTTCCTTCTATGAGTGTCTTTCATGAAGGGTGGGCTTCTAAAACCATGGCCTCCAGTGGAGGCACTCTTGGTCAGGTGGAGCTGGCCTAGCCTAGCCCAGTGTTATTGCAGGAAATGAATGCATTGTGTTGACGGCTATTTGTTGCCCCATTGTTTCCCTGGCACAGACCTGTGTGGGACTGTTTGTCCTTCAGCACACACAGCGGCCTTTGTGTCCTCTGCAACATCCTACATGCGGCTGTGAACAGTTGTGTCTGAGCCAGTTTCTCGGCTGTGGAATTCACTCAGAAAGGAATTGTGAAGCACATACCAAGGCAGGGCCCTGCTTTTCTCTGGGAATGTCCTGTGCCTTCCAACATTCCTCCTCCCACTTGGCCAAGAAAAACAAGCAAATAGAGGGCTCCTTTGATGTATGTACCCCTGAGCTGTTCAGAGGTGAGACTTGGGGGTCAGGGAGAGTGATTTCCAATCTGTACAAAGAATCTCCATTCATAACTTTCTGCCCAGAGCAGGGACTAGTGATGCCCACACACCCAGGCATGGCTTTGCCCTAAGGAAGCAGAGTTTAATATACAAAGCACTCTTGGTGGCACCATCGTGGAGGTCAAATGGTGTCCCTGTGCAAACAGTATCAAGGGATGGCCTGCTTGGCCATTTGCCACCATTAACTGTAAGCCTAATCTACACTGTGTCTCTGAAAACTGTGTGGTCCTTTTACATTCCATTTAGAACATCCAGAGGAAATCTCATATTTAAAATCACCAGAACAGGAAATACTGGCTCCTAAGGTGTATTAGTTACTTTTCTGTTACTGTGATAAAACACTATGACCCAGCCAACTTATAGAAGTAAGAGTTTATTTTGGCTATGATTCCAGGGGGAGAGTGTAAGTGATGTGGAAAACATGGTAGGAAGTGACCAGAGCAGAAAGCAGAGAGCTCATATCTTCAGGCAGGAAGCAGAACATATCAACAGAAGTGGGACAAGGCTAAGAGCTCTCAAAGCCAGCCCTCGGTGATGTGCTTCCTCCAGTAAAACCACATCTAAAGGTTCCATGACCTTCCCTAAAATGCACCATGAACTGGGGTACCATAAACCAAATGTTCAAATACTTGAGTTTATTGGGGACATTTTTCTTTCAAACCTCCACACGAGGCTAGAAATGGGTGTCTAGGAGGCTGTGTGTTCATAAGACAACTGCAGCTACCAACTCTGTGTGTTTGAATGTGACTCTAAAGCATGGATTAGCCATAGCTGTCCTGGGAACACTGGCATTTCTTCTTAAGCACAGTGCTTACAGTTTTAGTTGGAAAATGATAGTGTCTGAAGACTTGGTGGTTGTTATGATATAGATATGAGGTGTCTCCCACAAAAGGCTCATGTGTTAAAAGCCTGGTCCCTAGCTGGTGGTCCACGAGAGGTGATTGGTTCACGAAGGCCCTAAGTTCATTAAGGATGACTGAAGGACACATGTCACGGGGTGTCACTGTGATGGATAAATCTCATCCCTGGTCCTCTCCTACGTTGCTCTCTCTGCCTCCTGTCCACCATTAGGTAAGCCACTTTGCTTTATCACATGTTCCCTGTCATGATGTCCTGCCTCACTATGCATGGGTCTAGGAACTACAGAACAAAGTTACCGTGGACTGGAACCTGAGACTGGAAGTCAAAATAAATCCTCCTTCTTTTGGCTATTTTTCAAAGGTATTTTGTCAGAGTGACAAAAAGTAAACCCAGGATTGAAGAGATGACTCATCAGTCAAGAGCACTGACTGCTCTTCCAGAGGACCTGGGTTCAGTTCCCAGCACCCACATAGTGGCTCACAACTGTCTGTAACTCCAGTTCCAGGGAATTCGATGCTGTCTTCTGTCTTCTGTAGACATTGCATGGACATGGTACACATACATACATGCAGGCATTCACACATACACATTAAAAAAAAAAAACTTAAGGGGTTTGAGAGACTACTTAGTGGTTAAGAGCACTGGCTGATCTTGCAGAAGACTCAGGTTTGGTTCCCAGTACCCCCATGGCAACACAGTTTGGATAAACTTTGAATGTTTTTTTTTTTTTTTTTTTTTTTTTGAAACAGGGTCTCCCTATAGGCCCAGCTGGCCTGGAACTAACTATGTAGACCAGTCTGGCCTTCCGCCTGCCTCTGCTTCCCAAGTGCTGGGGCTACAGGTATGGGCCGCAATGCCTGGCTTTTTTTTTTTTTTTTTAATATTTATTATGTATATGCATGTTTTGCCGGCATGTATGTAAATATACTACATGCAGAGGCCAGAAAGTGTTTGATCCCCTGGAACTGGAGTTATGGACAGCTCTTAGCTGATTTGTGGGTGCTGGGAATTGAACCTGGGTCCTCTGGAAGAACAGCAAGTGTTCTTAACCACTGAGCCATCTCTCCAGTCCTGTGAATGCATTCTTATCAAAATAAATCTCTTACACAATCTACCAAAACTTGCCAATGAATTCTGAGTAGATGTCACAGGGTGTATCACTTAGGCAAGCACAAACATGTAGATACAAGTTTCTAGCCTTCACTGTTAAATGTGACTCTGCTTCTCATTACCAGGATGAGGGGGAAATGGACTTAACTCACCCCCAAGCTTTTCCTTGTGCTCTGAGGCCTTCTAGGGCATATGCTCAACTTCCTCACAGCAGCTGTGGCATTAAAGGCCTTTATCCAGTTTCCTCTTCTGCTAGCATAAATAGCCTGCTGACTCTGGCTGCTCCTGAAAGAGAGTGCTGTCTTTGACCACAGGTCCTGAAGACTCCAGTTCTCCGCAAAATCCAAGGCTTCTCTCTGTTTCCAGACCCTGGATGCTGTGTGGGGTTCTGGCCACCAGCAAAGAAGAGTATAAGAATGTTGTGGAAAGTGTGTCCCTAGGAGCCACTTTTCCCAGCTGTCCCTTTTCCATGCTTCTCTTGACAACTGAATTTCTAATTTTATTCACAGCTCTTTCTTCTCAATTCATATTTGAAGCTTGGACAGGCGATGGAGCCAGTCACATAGAGGGCTAATTGTGTTCCCTTCCCACCCATCACCCTCACCAAGTAATCTTGGGTTCTGCCTTTTTGCTTTGAACATTGAAAAAACAGAACAGAAGAAGAGGAGGAGGTGGCCGAGAATGTGATGGGTTAAACTTTAAAACAGAGCTACTAAGAAGGCTCTCAGCAAGACACTCCTCTTTTTTTATTTTTTGAGGATTTCATACATCTTGATCATATTTAGACTCCCTCCCCCATCTTTACCCCCGCATAGCCCCTCCACTGATTCTCACACATTCTGTCATGTATGTTAAAGCCTATCAAGGCAGGGTTCTGTCCCCAAATGTACCTCTATGTGAGTCCATCCACTGGAGCCTGGTCAACCCATCTAATGCCATTTCCTTAAAGAAAACCAAGTCTCCCTCTCCCAGTAGCCATGGGTTGCCAATAGCATCTCAGCACAGGTTGAGGCTTCCCACCCATCTCCCATTTCTATGCTGGGTTTTTGTCCAGCTTGAGCCTGCATAGGTTTATTCTGCTGTCACCATTGTGTAAGTTCGTATGAGCAAGTTCCCACCTGGAAAGTCTGGAAAGCTCTGTTCGCTATGATCATCCACCACCCCTGGCTCTTACAGTCTTTCTGGCCCTGCGTCCACAATGGTCCCTACGCCCTGGGAGGCAGAGCTTTGATGCAGGTGTCCTACACAGGGTCATGTACTCTGCAGTCTCCTATTCTCCACACGTTGTCCAGCTGTGGCCTCCCGGGCTAATCACACTCTGCTTGCATGAGGAAGCTTCCCTAGTGAAAGTTGAGAGATACATTAATATTTTTTTTCTGCATCCTGTTCTGCTGTTTCCTGAGCCTTGGGTGTGGAGGCTGCATTGTAGACGTGTCACTCAGGCCTGGGCTTCTCACAGACACTTATCTCTGCATTTGACCAGTTAGGGACACACCTCTTGACCTAGCAACCATAAGCTAAAGTCTGCAGGTGACTGAACTGTGTATTAAGGAAAGGAAGATATACTAAATTATTGTACTTACCACTCTTTTTGTTTCATTTATTTTTTAAAGATTCATTTTATATTGTGTATAAATGTGTGTCCGTACGTTGATATGTGCATGCGAGTGCAATGCCCTCAGAGTCCAGAACTGGAACCTGTGAAGCTGGAGTACAGGAAGTTGTGAGCTGCTGATGTGGGTGCTGGGAACTGAAACTCAGGTTCTCTGCAAGCACAGCATGCACTCTTAACTGCTAAGCCATCCCTCCAGCCCCTTGTTTCATTTCATTTCATTTCATCTTAAGCCTGGGTCTCACTAATAGCCTAGGCTAACCTCAAACTTGTGATCTTCCTGCCTCTACCTTCCAAGTGCTGAAATTACAGGCATGCACCACCATATCTAGCCTAAATTAACTTACTTCCCTAATATAATTATTGTTCATGTTTTCTAGTGGAAAACAAGTTTAAACAAGGAATTTTATATTTTTTGACCGATTTAAAAAAATTTTTTTTTGTTTTTGAGAATTTCAAAAATAAAATATTTTTATGGACAAATGTGAAACACATTTATATAAATTAATCAGTTATTTAAAGCATATTTATATAACATCTAAATTGGAGATCCTTAATCATTTTGTTTACAACTTCCTGTGATCCACTCAAAAGGAGAAATTTGAAAAGCTAAGCACATTCTCATTTGTTTTAAGGGTATCATTCAAAATTTTTCAACAGAGGTTTTAATGATGTCCAAGGCTGTCATTTCCAGTGGACTGTAAGTGATAATATTTGAAACATAAACAGCATGTCACATTTACATGTGCCTGATAGACTCTAAATATCTAGACAATTTAGTGCCTATTTCTACCCACTAGCATATGTGAAAAGTGCGTTTAAGTGCCAGACACGATGCACATGCCTTTAATTACACCATTTGGGAGATAGAGACAGGTAGATCTCTGTGAGTTCAAGTTCAAGGTGGTCAGTATAATCTACATAGCAAGTTCCAGGCCAGCCAAGGCTACATAGTGAGAGCCTGTCTCAAAAAAAAAAAAATTTTTTTTTGTTTAATATTTGGAAATGATATAACCTTACTTTTTCTCCTGGAACTTATATCCATTCTATTTTTCTATAATACTGTATCCCAATGAAATTGATTTTTATTCTTTAAAGTTGTTTATTAACCATACTGTCACATTCTGTGCAATGAAATTGGTTCACGAACAGTGTTTATGACTAGAATTTGGAAGGAGGTTGGAAAACAGATTGATGCTTTACAGGGCTGCAGCTCCCCTGAGAAAGTATTCAGTGGTTTAGTTCAACATCGTATTTTCTGTGACAGAAGCAAGGCATGCTGGTGTCTGGGACAAAGGTGTTCCCACCCATTCATCTTTAGAACAAGCATCATCTTATTTGGGGAGGAAAAAGAGGCATGTAGAGATAGTGCTTGCTATCAAAGCTCTTTAGGAGACCTTGAAAGTGTATAGCAGCACTACAAGTGTGCCCTGGTTGATTTAGAAAGGTTTATCCCTGCTGTCATTAGGCAGTCACAGACACTAGGGGACGGCAGCCCCAGGAAGCAGCAGCTGCAGCCACCAGACAAAGACAGATTCCAGAAGGTGTGGGAGAACGCACCCAGAAGCAGAGTATCTGTGGGCAGTAGCCCCACAGGTGGAAGGCATTGCTGTCTCTGTACGGTGTTAGCAGGCACGCCCAGCTCTGAGGTAGCAAGCATTCGGTGGTCAGTGGCCCCAGCAGAAGCTGGCAGTACAAGCAGCTCAGGAGAACAGTCTTGACAAAGTCCCAGGGTCTTTGCTCAGTGAGAGCTTTTGTTGCAAATTCCAAGGTGACATCTCCTAAGGGAGACAAAGCAGGAGAGAAAATAGCCAACACTTGAAGGATTTATGGGCAGACCCACAGGAAACACCAGCCAAGCTTTTCTCTTAAAATTGTTGTGTGCTTCCAAGAGTCCCAGAGGTACACAACAGAAGAGGGAGCCAGACCAAGAAAGTATTGACTTTTAAAGTTTTTTAACTTATTTATTTTTATTTTATGTACATGGGTATTTTGCCTGCATATATGTAAGTGTACCACATGCATACAGTGCCCACAGAGGCCAGAAGAGGGCATTGGATCCCTTCTAACTGAAGTTACAGAAGGTTGTTAGCCACCATGTGAGTGCTGGGAACCAAATCCAGGCTCTCCACAAGATCAGTCAGTGCTCTTAACTGCTGAGCCAACTCTCCAGACCTGAAAGTATTGACTTTTTATCTATAATCACAATCTAGGAATTTTCCAATATGGGAGACTGCACTATCAAATCAAGGGGAAATAGAATTCCTGTGGGTCACATCAGGACAAAGGGTAGAAATTGTAAAGCAAAGCAGAAGTGAGCATGGCAAAGCCCAGTTCCCAGTTCTCACACTTGTGGATGGAAAACCCAGGCATTGGCTGATAAATAGCCCCTAGTTCCATTGATCACAAGCTCAGTGGAAGGGCACCGGGTGGCTGATTTAGTTATACTTTCAAAGAATCCGAAGCTATATAAATGAGAAGTATTTAGATGTGCCAAATGTTTTACTGATGTCTAAAACAGGAGTCTCCTCTGCTCTGAGCAAAGTGGGGCTGGGGGGACAGACAGGAAGAGAAGCTGTGCGTTAGAGAAGATTTATACCACCAAAGTCAGTAAAATGAGCCCAGAATAGAAACTGCCCAGGAAAGAAGTCATCGTGTCTGCTTCTGTGTTCTGCTTGTTGTTTCTGGCTTCAAACAACACTGAGTTCCAAAAGCATTTGGCTCCTGGAAATAAGTCAGCACGTGAATGCCTTCCCAGAAGCCCCCAGACACCACCACACACTGGCAGGTGCCTCCACAAACCACGTGAAAACAGCCCCATCAAGCCCTAGGCTCTACACCAGAAGCCAAAGCTGTCAAACCTCTCCTCTGAATTTCAACAGATCTCCCAACGTTTGTCACAGTCCAGAACTTGACGTAGTTCTATATTACTTTTTAGGTCCTTTCACAAAATATTAGCATCTTCTTTCTTTGTATCCTCTGTATGACCCAAGACACTGGCCAGGGCTTAGTTAATACAGTTAAATCCATTTAGATGCATGTATGTGATTCAATTGCTGAGCAGAACAAGCCATTATCAAAGATCATTTAAGATAACCCTGAAAAATTTACCCTCTGCAGGTCCTTCCACGAGGAGTGCCGTTCGGTCTAATCTCAGCAGAGCCTGTGCATTCTGGTGTGGCAGGATCAGACCTCTCTTGTTATGGAAAACTGGGAGAAGTGTCTGTGGACTGGTAATTGTATGTGTTTGAAAGAGAGCAGAGAAAAGGAATAAAGGGCAGCTGAGGCTTGAAGAGCATGAGTTTGAGGCAAGCCTGGGCTACATGGTGAGTTCCAGGCTATCCTGAGATGCAAAGCAAGATACTGTCTCAAAAGTAAAGAAGGAAAGTGTTGGGGTTGTCACTCAGTGGCACAGCACATGCGCAGGCTCTGGATGTGACCCTCAGCTCTGCAAGAAGGAAATAGCAGTAAAAGGATTCTCAGCTGTGCCAAATAACTTTTACACATGCTAACTCTATACTAGGACACAGAGAAATAGTCATTTTACGGGTGAAGAAAGTGAAGCTCATAAAGATGTGACAAACTGAATCCGGCATCAAACTGGAACACGTCGTCGACAGACTGGATCCTGGGATTTTTCCAGCACCCTTGGAGAGAGAAGTCAAGAAAGGTTAGGGCAGCTGCTGGTACTCACTCACCTCTGGCTCTGTGGCACAGGTCGGACCCCCATCCTCCACCTCTTCTCAGTACTGGGCAAGGCTTCGGTGCTGCAGATCAGTGAGAGTCAAGCGTCTCACCCAGTCCTGCTAGTTATGTCCTTCCAAGCATTCCACATCTATTTATAGAAAAGGAACCAGATGAGAAAGAGGACTTCCTGAAGAGAAGGAAGAGGAAATGTGGGGCTGTTGGTGTTCGTTTAGTGCAAGGCTTCTCCTTGATCCATCCTGCGCCAGTGTGGAGTACAGTGCAGGGTTTTGTTAGGCCAGCTTGAACGTCACTACACAAATACTGACAATTTAGATACCTCCAGAAAAGAGTCCTTTATGTGCTATTTGAAGCCTGGTTACTAGGAATTAGCTCTGCATCTAGTATTTGATCGATAGCTGTAACCCCACCTGTTCTGTTTCGTTTTGCCTTTAATGGGCTTGTTGAAAACATCCTGTCACTTGAGATGACAGCAGTAATCATAACAAGCCTATACTGCTTAAAATGGGCATTATTCTCATTTTATTTTCACAATGTATCCTCAGGAGTTTGCTCTTACTGTAACCCCATTTCACAGATAAGGAATCCCAGACATGAGAGGTTAATCATCTTGCACAAGATCACAAAGTCAACAGGATACAAGCCTAGGTGATTCACCTTTCAGGTTAGATCTGTAACCTGTCACTCAAAATGACCCACAGGTCCATATTCCTTGCTCAGCCCAGGCATGTAAACAATAAGTCTTTAATGGTTAGCAACCAAGGAGGGTAAGACCTCAGGCCAGCCTGGAGTCGGTTAATACTGTCTGCATTGTTTCCTACCAGGAGGAAGTCACATTTGTAAAGAAAAGAGAAATTATGTGCTCCTCTTCTTTGCCTGATGCCGACATGTCCCTCCATAACTTCTCGGACAGAAAATGATGGCTGTCTAGCTTCAAAGACTTGTTCTGAAAGCCCTTTAGATTTTTGGTTAAATATAATGGGTTTAATAAAAGTCAAATAAATCTAATAAAATATCAAAAATAAAAAATAAAAATTTGAAATATCAGATGAATGATACGTTAAGAATACAATCTCTTAAGAATACAAAAAAGAAAAAAGAAAAAAAGATGAATGAGATGGCACTCCGAATGGAGAACCTAATCATTTAACTATCTACAAAGAGGTCCAACAAAGAAAACAGTTTGGCTGCCAATACCCCCACCATCACCCGACCCAAGCCCTAGAAAGCCACATCTTTTAGAGTCACCCAGGAACATGAGAGGTTGTGGGTTGTGTGAGACATGAACTGAAAATATGGGTATAGTAATCTCTTATCTGGGGTTTCCATTACCTATAGTAAGTGTGCTCCAAAAATATTGCATGGAAAATTCCAAAAGAATAAACAATAAATTTAAAATAAGTTTGACTTCAGTAACTCATTATAACTTCTGTTTTATAATGATTAGTTGTTGTTAATCTCTGACTGTCACTACTTTATAAATTAAACTTTGCCATAGTCTGGTATGTTTAGGAAAAACACAGTACATACAGGGTTTGGCACTTTCCCTGGTTTCAGCATCCACGGAGCATCTTGAAACATGTTCTCAGGTGATGAAGGGAACCACTGTGCTGGATGAAGTCTGCACACACAGTACAGGTTCTCTGATTTTCCCCATGTTGCTAGACAAGCCATCTCCACCACCACCTCTAATCATCCGCTCACACAAGAACCAAGCATTATTTTCAATCTAATTCTCTAGTATTCGAGAGGCTGATGCAAGTGGATTGCTGCCAGTTGGTGGTCAGCCTGAGGTATAAAGTTCTAGGCCAGAGTAGGCTATGGTATGAGACCCTGACTCAAACAAACAAAATTTAAAAAGAGAATCTAAAAATGTCTAGAGAGAAAAAACGGTTTACACAAAAAGTATAAAGAATTAAAATGTCGCAGGCATGGTGGCTCACACTTTTAATCTCAGCACTTGGGAGGCAGAGGCAGGCAGCTCTTTGTGAGTTCAAGGCCAGCCTGGTCTACATAGTGAGTAGCCTGCCAGGGTTACATAGTGAGACCCTATCTCAAAAATGACAATAAAAACAACAAAAGAATCAAAACGACACTGATTTTTTTTTTCACAATAATAGAAACTATGGGTCACTTTTGGTCTTCAGAAAACTCTGAGGGAATGTTTTTGCTTGTAGATTTCTATAGCAAGCCAGTTTTAACCAAATGTAAAGATAAAAGATAATTTCAGAGCCAGGCATGGTGCCACATGCCTTTAATCCCAGCACTCAGGAGGCAGTGACAGGCAGGATCTCTGTGAGTTCGAAGCCAGGCTGGTCTACGTAGTGAGTTCCAGCTCAGCTGGGGCTATAGGGAGACCCTGTCTCAAAAAGCCAAAAAAAAAAAAAAAGATAATTTCAGATACTTAAATACTCAAATGTTTTGCCTTTTGTACACTTTTGTTTTGGAAAAAAAATTATTGAATAATGCTCTCTGAAAAATAAGAAATGTCAGTCTGAGGAAGTAGGGGACCCCACAGAGTCACATTGCAAAGGACTGATGGACAGGAGCCCATCTCTGCTGCACCAGGATGAGGAGGGCTCCAGGGAGAAGACTTCCTAGATCAAAACAAGCCAATAACACTGTCATCCAAGCCTCAGGCACTTGATTGTGTGGGAAATAGACCCAAATGGCATATTACAGAGCTATTAGAAGAATCAAAATTGATGAATACACAAATTATGAAAACGATATTGACTGGTCAATAATTCTAGGGGCATAGTGAAACTTGGAACAAGAAAACAAACATGATCCTGTTATTCTGTTTACCTCAGTTTAAACTAGAAACTTACATGGCCTTAGTAATGCAAACTCTCCTAATTGACCCCCAAATTATTGTGTCAGTGAGGAAGAACGGAAGGTTGGGAGAGCTGTGGTCTGAAAAGTTATCACCTCATCTACGACAATAGATAATTACATTTCAAAAATAATCAAGTCCAGGCTGGAGAGATGGCTCAGCGGTTAAGAACACTGTTCTTGCAGAAGACCCAGGTTCGAATCCCAGCACCCACATGGCAGCTAACAACTGTCCGCAACTCCAGTTCCAGGGATCCAACAGCCTCCTCTGTCCTCCGTGGGCACTGCACTACATGGGTGACTCACCTACATTCAGGCAATACATTCATACACATAAAATAAAAATAATAATTTTTAAAAAGTAAAAAAAAAAAAAATCAAGTCCAAAAATGGAGGCATAAACATATAAAGTATGGGGGAGGGGCAGGAGAGATGGTTCAGCAGTTAAGAGTACTAGCTGCTCTTACAGAGGACCCAGGTTGAAATACCAGCACCATATGGCAGCTAACAACCATCCCTAATTCCAGTTCCAGGGGATCCAAAGCCCTCTCCTGACCTCCATGGGTGTTGCATGACACGGGTGAGCTTACACACATGCAGGCCATGCACTCATACACACAAAATAAAGATAATAAATAAAATATTTTAAAATTAAAAATTAAAGTATGGGGGAAGGAAAGACTGGAGATGTAGTGCAGTGGTAGAATGCTTGTCTCACAGGCACAAGTGCCTGGATTTGATTGCTGGCATTGCAAGAAAATAAAATTATGGAAGAAGAGCCAGGCATGGTGGAGCATTCCAGAGACTGAGGCTGGAGGATCATGAGTTCAAAACTAGCCTGTGCTATAGAGTCTTACTCTACCTCAAAGAAGGTTTTTTTCAATTAATTTAATTATAGAGGAAAAAGCCTAGGAAAGCATGTTGAAGTGGACAGGTTTTGAGAGCAGAATTAATTGGGAAGCATCATCTGCTTCCTTAATTTTAATTTTTCTTACAACAGAGACTGATTTTGTTGCCCAGTCTGGCCTGGAACTCCTGGGCTCAAGTCATCCACCCTCCTCAGCCTCCTGAATCTACGATCACTGCTTTTTAAAAAACATCTTAGTGGGGAATGGAGGGAAGGGTTGGAGCGATGGCTCAGTGGTTGAAAGCACCTGCCACTCTTGCAGAGGTCCAGAGTTCAGTTCCTAGCACCCATGTCAGATGACTCACAACCATCTGTAACTCCAGCTCTAGGGTGCTCTCTTCTTGCCCCATGGTCACCTGCATGTGTGTGTGCATACACACACACACACACACACACACACTAAATCTTTTTTAAAAATCATCTGTAATTACTATTTGATTTCTTCTATTTATTTTGATTTTATGCGTTTGAGTGCTTTGCCTACATGTATATAAGTGCACCCATATCATGCAATGCCAATGGAGGCCAGAAGAGGGCATCAGATCCCCCTAGAACTGGAGTTAGAGAGGCTGTTAGTCACTATGTGAGTGCTGGGAACTGAACCCAGGTCCTCAGCAAGAGCAGCCAGTGCTCTTAATCACTCAGCCCACTATTTGATTTTGAAAAACGCATCCATGAAGGATAGGACTCCTATAGGGAACCTCACCCACCCATGGCTCAGGGACCATTGTGGAAGAAGAGGCAGAAAGACTGTAAGAGCCAGGGCTGGTTCATGATTACAGGGAGGTGGAGGCTTCCAGGCCACTGGAGGCTTGCTCGTGTGAGCCTACAGCAGTGGTGGCATCAAACTTAGGACCCATGTCAGCTCAGTGAAACAAGGGCCCTAAGGGGAGGTGAGAAATAGGTGGCAGGCCAGCATTCGATCAAGAACTGTTTGAGACTGGTTCACGCTGGGTGAGGGAGAGCATAACTTATATATGACCACTGGATGGGCTGACTAGACTCCAGTGGACACATTTATACTGAAGGACTTTTGGGTATAAACACCTGAATAAATAGGGCTCAGCATATATGGCAGAGTGCAAAGGGTCCAGTCGGGGGATACGGGGAGGTACGGATGAGGGAGCGGGTCTGGATTTGACTGGGAAATGTCGCATGAAATTTTAAAAGCTCAAAAAAATCACACAAAAAAGAACTGCAAAAAAAAAAATGAGTTCACAAGTTACTTGGCAGTGTGAACAAGCAATTCTGGATGTCTAGGGTTCCCTGATTTTCATAAAGATCACTACACAAAATGAAAAAAATCAGCATCAAGGACGAGGGCAGTAACCAGCAGCTATGATTGGTTTCAT